ATATATATAGTATATATATATATATACTATATATATATATATATATATATACATATGTTGTTGTGTGTGTATTTTATATGTACATATACATATAGTTGTTCTAATATCATGCACTTTTGTCGCTCGAGATATCATGAATTGCAGTTACGGATTATAACAACGAGGACAATAATATTAGTTAACCGTAATATTCGTTTTCTATGACATTAAACGCAAAACTGTTCTCTTCTTCAAAATTGAAGGGTAACTAAAACATTTAGCTATATATTTCTACATCTGCCTACCAGACTGGTAGAGTATTTTCCTTGCGCAGGGAATATGCCTTTTCTCATGCGGAAAACATAATTTTTTGTTTACATTTGCGCGGACGGATATTGCAGACGGATTGATTGAAAACAAGTGCCGCGAAAAGGTCAAAAGAATTTTATGCGCGGAAAATTGGTTTAAAAGAGAACTAAAGCGTGCGCGGAAAGTTCTACCCTAAGAACTACATTTGCGCGTACAAAAATTTTGACCTAAATAATTTTGAACAAATTTCTACGGTTCTGGCAATCTGCTTCTTTTATTCAATCTATATATGTATTTTTCATGTCTATTTCATCTATCTATCGATATAAAAGTGTGCTTGCTTGTGTGTATGGCGTACATATATAATAGATACATATAACGTGCATGCATACATACCATACATAACATATACATACATATATACATACATATTATATATATGTATATTATATTTATATATATAATATATATATATATATATTATATTATATATATATATATATATATATGTATGTATGTATGTATGATATATATATATATATATATAATTAATATATATTATATATATAACCAACAATTCTATATATACATATATATAAATTAAATATATCTATCTATTATCTTATCTATTATCTAATCTATCTATCTATCTATCCTATCTATTCTATCTATCTATCATATATATATATAATATATATTATAATATATATATATATAATTATTATATATATGACATAAGTCCATGGGGGACTGCTGCTCCCCAACCCCCGCCCAGGATCTCCACGTATTCATAGCAGGAAAAGAGCGTTGGACAGGTCGTACGCTCTCTCTCATTAGACAATAGAGTGTTTGGATTCAGTGTGGATTATTCTATTTTACCCGCTATTTCCCTTGGTAACTTTTTCATACCTTTCCCTGCTATCGGTGGCCAAGAATGTGGGGGAGGGGGGGGGTGGGGTGGATCCGCACAATAATTTTTATATAAGTGGAAACTAGAGAGTAGAGGAATCCAACAATACTAAATCATTGCGATCCTTTGGGGAACTATTCAAAGCAATAACCATGCTGGTACTGGTCTTACTGCTTTTAATAACTTAAGGTGATAATTTCAAAATAATCATAAAGATATGGATAATATATAGGGACAACAAAATAAGAGATATCCATCATGGAAATAAAGTTCCCCTTGTATTTTTATATCCGTTTTCTGTGTTGATAGAATATGACGATTTGGTTTCTTTCAATGTTAAAGTTTAGGGTAAACTATTTTATATATGTCAACTCCTATGTAGCACAAATAGATTAAATAAATATAGTGCTTGGTAATATATCATGTTCGTGGTTATATATTTAGATGTACATCAATGTATATATAGATAAGTCTCTCCCTTTCTCTCTAATATATATATATATATTATATATATATATATATATATAATATATATATATATATATATATATATATATATGTATATGATTTGCCTCCTTATATCGTTTCTTGTAGTTTATGTTGTTGCGTATAAAGCATATCATACATCATAGCAAGACAGTGCATTTCAAAGAAAGTAGCATGAGCTATTTATTGAATGGTTATATATAATGTATATATAACATCGTAAAGCGTATCCCTTTTTTACGGCAAGATTAGGTGATTAGAAGTATAATGTTAGAAATAGTGATTACAAGTTAGAAAGTCGCAGATTAAAACTAGATAAATATTCAAAAAGATGAAGGAAATTGAAACTGTTTAGAAAAAATGTTCTGGAAGATGAAGCACTATCCATAAAATTACGGGGTGGGGGTGGTGGGGTGGCAAGAATCAGTTGACTAGGCTTTGCATATAATTTTACTGATGATAACAGCTAAAACGGGTATGATTAGGCCAGCGGCGTGGCATTAGAACCAAATGGACTCGCGGACTAGACTCCCTAGAATACCCTAGAGCAGCGGTTTCCTAAAATTCATTCATTCTATGGCCCCGACCACTATATAATAATCCCCATGGCCCCCTTCAGTGACTGCCATCATTTCAGATTCAGTTAATACTGCTTATGACTTATGTAATGGTATCAGTAACTATAGGGACAAGCATACTTTATGGAAAGATACCAATTTCAATACCAATTTATTGAAATGTTAGATATAATTCTATGCAGGTACTGTAGATGAGATAAAATTCAAGTTAATTCGACGCCCATAATTTCCAATCGTCCCATGGCCCAAGGCTGGGATCCCTGCCCAAAGTAATCCTAATACACACTCCCAGCTTCTTAATGGCCGGGATATCAGGAGTTGCACCATCGCGTCTGTTATCACAAAGCATATTGGCCTTCTAAGTGTAGTGCACATACCAGGAAGAG